CCTGTATCTTTACTTTTTTAGCGTCAAGTAAATGATACCAGAGTTAATTAATTTAAAGCTCAAATATTTTCAGCTTTATCGTTGCTTCTTATGTAGATGGCACTTTAATCGAAATTATATAATGTGGTCAAATTTGACGCTCAAAGCTAGCGTCAAGCGTCAGCATGAAATCGCACCTTAAAAAAAACAAATACGATCAAATTTACAAATGAAGTATAATAATATTTAAACATAAAACCTAAGAGAGAAGAAATCCTTTTTTGAAAGTACACACAAATCCAAAAGAGAAGAATGTTAGGTGAGGATGAAGGGTCCAGAAATTCATAAACATTTTCTACGAAATGAAAGTGCTAGGACGATGACAACGAAAAGGGCAGGGGGAAGAGTAGGTAAAGGGGTTGTAAAGGGGATAAAACTATACTAGCGGGTGGATAGTAGCATTTTAAGCAGCCTTTCTGTACCAAAAGAGCATTACAATGTTCTCTCACATTGGAAGATGCAGCAAATGCACCAATAGCATCGCATGAGTCGTTGAGTTTCGGTCAAAAGGAACGAACGAACGAACGAACACATCTAAACGAAAAGGATGTTAAAACCTAAGCAGCTTTTCCATGAGCCGTTTACAATATTCGAAAAGGAAGAGAAGAACCCTCATAGTAGTAGTAGTAGTAGTAGTACATCTAGGGACTTGTACTACTCGTTAATAATAAATGTTATATACTTGTCAAGAACTTGTCGGCATTTCATTAACGTAAAAGCTCCTAGTAGCCCGATGGTTGTTAATGAGTAGCACAAACTTGAATATGAAAAAAGAGAAAAATGATAAAAATATAAAGAGAGATAGAAAGAAACAGAGAAAATAATAAAAGATTAAAATTGTTTTATATCAAATAATTCCCATATATTTATATATAAGAGGGGGAATGGGGATTTAAGTATTTGTATGGTAGAAATATAGAATTGTATATAGGGTGGTTGTGATATTTCAAATTAGGAAAGACACACTATAGTATTCTTTATTAAATAATCTAAAATAGAAGTGATATAATATAAGAAAATATTATATTGCATATAGTATGTTAGAAATTTTTTATTTGGTTATATTTTTTTTTTTTTTATATATGGATGCACCGATGTAACACCTATAAAAATTTTCAAATATTTGTAATAATATTATTTCTAATATAACGTGTGTTATTTCTGAAATGACATTACAAAAAAAAAAGTTGTATAATAAATTATTTTCTTTTTAATAGTAAATATTATTATAAAATTTCTTTTTATAATAATAAAATAAAAACATATTTATGATTTATTCTATTATCAAATAATTGTCAAATATTAATAACAATATTATTTCTAATCTAACTTGTGTAATTTCTGAAATGACACAAATGTAATCACCAAAAAAGGAAAGAATATAATTATAAGGAAGACGTAAAGGTATCTTTTCGAGAAAAATGCCATTTTACATCTTCCCACCCTCTCATTGTTTTCATTTTCAAAAGCGTTATAAACAATGATAATAGATAAAGATAGAAGAAAGGTATATATATATAACATACACACAGGTTATATGTGACATCGTGATAAATTACAGTTCATCCGATGGTTCAAGTACCGAACCAACTTGTTGGAGCTCCAACTGGAACTAACGTCACGCTGGTCTGCCACGTAGAAGCATCACCAAAAGCCATTAATTATTGGACTCGCGAATCGGGTAAGGGCCCACTATGTGTTGTTTATCCCTATCCTTGTCCTTCGTTAACTACCGAGTAAACTTTCGATGTATACCGCTAAAACGAATTACTAAAAAATCCTTTTTTCTTTTGGTTTTTTTTTTAACAAAATGATCAAATGAATGATGATTTTTTTTCTTTACACCCTTAATACTCTTATTATCACGTCCTTTGAATTTAATTAACTATGTTTTACATATATATATGTAGGGATAATTTATTTAGGGTGAGAGGTGCGAGGTAAACATACACCCAGTTTAATCCTACTAATAAGATTTATTTAAAACAGGTATTAGAAAAAGTACAATATTAGTTTCACAATCTTACGGTTACAACTTACATGAGCGACTGTATTCTTACAACCGATACAACTGCGACTGTTACAACTGATGT